ACGAGAAAGTGGTCGCTGCAAACTGTTGCACTGTTTGTTTCTGCACCTCAGTTTTTAGTCGTAGATTGTTGACCCACTTACTTTTGTCCTRTTTTTTCTGCAAGTTTTTAAACTTTAACTTCCTTGTGACACACTACTTTCAGAATGTGAAAAAAACGTTGATGTTTCTCCTGATTAGAGTGGCTRCAACAACTGTACACGGCACAGAATTTAGGCATTTTGACACTGAATCAACAGAAGGAAACATGGCTTCACATCTGCATTTTATGACATCAATACTACATCATCTGCAACCCAGCAATACAAAATGTTTGCCGCTGCAAACTGAGCTTAGAAAAATGCCTATAATTAAGTTAATTAATCAGATACTGAGGTACAACTGTGTGTGGTAGAAGCTGAGACTGATCTCCATCTCAAACTCTAAGCTTTACCAGATCGCATAAGATCTTTGTTTAAAATGATGCGTTTGTGGGGTAACAAGAGGGTCTTTATAGGGCTACATGAACCTGAAAAACTTCACAAAATTCTCTGAAGACCATCAACGGTTCTGGCTGATTTTTTACAACCTTATTGAAATTAACCAGTGTGAAAGAGGTTCTAATCCTGATTTCTTTATTTCTAGCATATCATTTAAAAAATGACAAACATTTTATAAAAACTGTGTCTAAAGTGTGTTTCTTACAAGAAGGAGCTCATGTCTGTTTGTCTAAAAGATTAAGTACGTTGGTGTGGACTTAGTGTGAGAACAAAAGAAAACTCGTTGCTCAAGCTGCTGAATACAGAGAAAACATTTGATCATCACTAAGGTGAAACGGTCAAACTTTGCAGAACAAACAGAAAAGCTCAGCGCTGCYGTGTGTTTTAACATGAGAACTTCTGCTGCCGTTCACTTGTTTCTGTCAAATAAAGCACATATTTCTGTATTTTTGGTCCTGTGTTTTCATCATAATTTCTTATTTTTGCCCTTTGCCAACAGGTGTGAAACCATGTATTTTTTTGCCTGCATGTGTGTCTGTTTCAAAATAATGCACCTCTGAATGGACTTATGATACAAAGATCGATGGATGTTCGTCTACAGCTGATTACTTTGGAGTCAAGATGGCTCCAAAAGATAAGCAAACTYAATAAACACACAAAAAAGGCTATAACTCAGCTAGTTTTATTTGATTGGGGTGGGCATGCAAAAGCCTTTTTTTTAACTCTGTATCGTTATACAGTCATTACYGTAATCCTTGACACTCTGTGGTATGTGGAGGTTGCTGGTACAAAGCTCTGCCTATTTTTTACAACGCTCCTCCCTGGAGCTCAGTCTGCAGCCGAGCTCCCGCCCCACTTTAATAAATTAGTTCAATCCAGCAGAACACATACTGTGTGTGCAGAAGATGACATGACGTCACGTTCAACTTGCTTTTTACAGAAGAAGCTAAACATGRATGATACTTGTCCTGAAGTTGTTGTGCAATCAGAGCCGATTAAATTATTATCCGACATGCTCGTTTAGTTCAGTGTTTAYATCTGAACCTGCCTCTGACCGGATGCTCCGGTGAAGCTTTTTATTTTTCGGAACAAATTGATTTGCTAAAAGAAAAGTATCGACCCAGTAACTTAAGTATCAGCCGACGTTGTGTAAGAAAAATATGTGTTCAATACGACTGAAGTCAAGATGAAAACACCATTGTTAAATAAAATGATTTGTGGTAGGAATAAAATCATACAACACCAGAATTCTGAAAACCGAGTGAGGTTTAATTGTCACCGGCTGACAAGGAAAACCACACTGGCCAAAAGCCAGGAAGTACATCTTTTTATACATGATTCTTCAATGCCTGAGTTTGCCCCCTACTGACCTACGGCTGAATCACAGGCATTCATCCAAAAATCTCAAGCTAATGTTATAATTAATGTTTCACTTATGTGTTGTTTATGATTCGGACATGTAACTACTCTATATCAATTAGCACGTAATAGATTAATAATAGATCAAACATTATAAAAAGGAAACCCTAATAATCTAGTGTTGTGCTTCTAACATCAGTACTAACCTGTAATAACTATAAATTTCTTCAGTTGGACATCACTATCATGTTTCTGTGGATTCCCAGTCATCCAGGACATGGAAAATGAAAGGAACAAAGACAAAGCAACTGGACTTCTGTTCTGTATGAAGATGTGTGGAGTTACGAGATTAAACTGCATGACTCAAGGCTATCATATTGATCGATCCTTCATCCCCAAAGCAGTCGCTTTAAAAAACATCAGATATTTATCTGATTTAGTACCACATACTGAAAAGGCCTGGGATGGATTAGAAAAAAAAACCCTGATTTGTCATGTTYAGACTGTCCAGAAACAAATCTGAWATGGGTCGCATGGGACATATAAAGTTGGATTTGGGTCGTATTTGCCTGCAGTGTGAACATAGTCTTAATTAATTGATTGTGAAATATGTACTTGGAAAATATTAAATTAAGCTCAAATTTGATGTGGGAATAGCTGAGAGCCAACCTCTCCTCTGAGCATTAACGAATCACACAAGATGTTGGTGTAAAAGTCTCCCATTGACTCTTAGGATTAACATGGTTACAGACACTGTAAAAAATCAGCTGCACCACTTAAACTCTACGTATCTGAAATAGGTTTATAACTAGACATTAGATGTCTCTCATTTTGACTAGTAAATGATGTCAGATTTACCAGTAAGTTGTATAGATGCTCCATTTCAAGATATCTGCAATAATTCTCTGAAACTTATTTCATTAAATTAAATTAATGAAATAATTAAACTAAATTA